CCGCTTCCCCCGCCCCAGGCCCCAGCGCCTCCCAAGCAGCAGGCCCAAGCCGCAGCAACGCGGCCGCCCGGCCCGCCGGGGCCTGGGGGGGGGGCCGCCTGCCAGTGTTTTTCCAGTTCCCCCGGTAGCTCCGGGCCGCATTTAGAAGCTGGGGAAGCTGGGCCGAGGCCAGGGCCGGGGCACCAGAGGCCCTCGCGGCCTGCAGAGCGCTGCCAGGCGCGAGGCCGAGCCGGGGCAGGAGTGGGCAGGGAGGGGCGGGGTGAGGCCAGCCCAGCCCACAGAGCCGTCCCCGAAGGAGACCTGGCCGCCGCACAGCAACCCCGGACGCCTTGAAAACAGATGCGTCTCGGCCCCCAAGACCCCGAGCACCTTCTAGGTGCCCGGCAGGCCCGCGGCAGGCCTGGGGTGACAGGACGCAGCCCTTGCCCTCATGGCGCTCTCGGTTTAGCCAGCGAGATAGACAGACGCACAAGTGACTCATCCTCGGGGCGCTAAGTGCCAAAATTGAGGTTTAAACAAAGGGCATTTAGAACAGAGATTAATTCTGATTAAAGGAAAGCCGGCCAGGGAAGTTTTTCGGAGTTGGCACTAGAAGCCGAGAGGTGAAGGATGAGTTCAACAGGAAGGGTTAGGAGTAGGAAGACAGGAAAACGCAGAGGTGAAAATACATAGGTCCAGGTTGGGGAAATTTCAGGAAGTCCACCGTGGTGGTGTTATTTAAATTTTCAAATATACAAGCTGGCTTAGAGGGCAAAAGGGAGAGAAATTATCTGCTGCAGTCCTTGGCTTACTGCAAGACACCCCAGGGGTTTGAAGCACATGATTTGGCTACTGGTGGCTTAGGTTTTTGAGCCCAAGGCAAATCATTTAAACATGTCTGTGCCTCAGTTTTGTAACTCTGTGTCTCATTTGTGACTTACTGCACATGAGGGTAGTACTTGATAGGGTCATGAGGATGAAATGAGTCAAAGCACTTAGGGTATTTAGAATGGTGCTGTCAGCTGTTACGATTTTTTTTTTTTTGAGTCAGAGTCTTACTCTGTCATCCAGGCTGAAGTGCAGGGGCATGCTCACGGCCACTGTCACCTGCTGGACTCAGCTGACCCTTCTGCCTCAGCCTTCCAAGTAACTGGGATTGCAGGTGCGCGCCACCATGCCCAGCTAATTTTTTAATGTATTGTACAGATGAGAACTCACCAAGTTGTCCAGGCTAGTTTCAAACCCCTGAGCTCAGTCAATCCTCTCGTCTCCAACTCCCAAAGTGCTGGGATTACAGGCATGAGCCGCCGCGCCCGGCTTTATGATTCTTAAATAGCCATAGTGACGGATGTTCACCAGACGAGAAAGCCAACCCTGGCCTTTTCCCAACACATGCAGAATCTGCTTGTCATTGCACCAGGCCCCATGTGAAAGGGCCACTGCTTCTTCCTTCGTTTCTGAATTTCAGACATTCAGTCGATAATTGTTGAACTAGGGGCAATGGGAATGAAAAGAGAAGAAAGGCATGAACTCTGTAGCTACAGAGCTTTGTGGTAGGCAAGAAGACAGTCAGGTTAGCTGGGGCTCGGTGGCTCAGGCTGTGGCTCAGGCTGTAATCCTGCGCCTTGGGAGGTTGAGGTAAGTGGAGTGCCTGAGCCTGCAGGTTCAAGACCTCCCTGGGCAACTTGGTAAGACCTCATCTCTACAATAAATTTAAAAAAAATTAGCCGGGTGTGGTAGCGCGCACCTGTAGTTCCAGCTACTTGGAAGGCTGAGGCAGAAGGATCGCCGGAGCCCAGCAGGTCAAGTCTGCGGTGGCCGGGAGTGGCCACTGCACTCCAGTCTGGGTGACAGAGTGAGACTCCAACGCAAAAAAAAAAAGACAGTCAGGTAAAGGCAAAACAAATGAATGAC